AACAGCCGCGATAGGGGAGGGAGGGAGGGGAGCCACAGCGGATGGCGTACTGATCGGGGCTGCAGGTGCGGCCTCTGAGAAGGGTCCCTGTCAGGCCGCCACGATTCAGTCCTGTTTTCTCTTTTTTAAAGAGTTTTTGTGCCTTAGGGACTGTGGCCTCACCAGAGACAGAGAGAGGGAAAGTGAGAAATCACCCCCCAGGGGTGGCCGCGCCGTAATCCCTCTCCTCCCGGGATCTTCGGCACATGTGCACATGTGCCCGGTGTGTGTCTCAAGCCCTTGGCGTCATGCGGGAGTCCGGCGACTGCGCCATCTGCTGGCCCCAGTCCTGGGGCATATGAGGGAACGAGACTCTGCCACCCCCTGCCCTCTGCCCTGCTGCCCGCCAGGGCTGAATAACCCTCTATTTTAGAAATGACCCCCCTCAGCTGTTCCTGCCATTAGCAATAGAAGCAGCCCCCAGGAGGAGCAGTGAGGGGTGCTCATGACAGAGGGGCCCCAGGCAAGAGAGGCCAGCCTGGGTAGAGGGAGAAGACCCAGGGGCGCGGCAGCCTGTCAGGCCGCTCCTGAGGCCTAGTCTCAGGGCTTCGACTCTGATCCTTGGACCCAAGATGGGGGTTGGTCTTGGGTCCAGTGGACACTGGTCCGCGTCTCGGGTGCTTCCCCGGCAGCCCCTCTTGGGTGTCCCTGGCCACGAGCTCACCCAGCACTTACCCTGGCACCCCACCTGTGCTCCCGAGGGCCTAGGGCCATACTGGAGGAGGCCGCTGGTGCTGCTGCTGGCCAGCATGCCCCCACGGAGGGGCTTCCGGAGAACGGCTCCCTCCGCCTCAGTCTGGGGGACCCTGACGACAGGGTGCTCCTGGCTCCACCACGGAGCGGGTGTCACCACCGTGCCAGGACCAGAGGGGAACGCTGGCCGGGTAGACCAGGCCCAGAGCACAACCTCCCAAGAGCACCTTCCTCAGCGTGAGTGGTGGGGAGGCAGGGGGGGCTGGCCAGAGCTCGGGCCTGCATCTGGGAGGTCAGAGACCCATTGGCAGGTAGACACAGGGCTGGGGAGAGAGGACATGAGCTCACACCGAGCGACAAGGTCAAGCTGCTCGCTGGGTGCTGGTGGAACGGCTCCCGGATGCAGACTAAGGGGCTGCTGGAGGCTGCGGGCAGGTGCTGAGGGGGTGGCGCTGTCCCTGAGCTGGCGGGTTGCCCCAACCAACTTATTAGAACTCAAGCAGCCAACACAAACTCAAGAGAAGATCTGTGAAGTCCTATCCCTGTGGGTGAAGTGAACATCCAGGAAGCTCGAAATGCGAGTTCTGCCACAACTTAGAGCAAGAGAAGGGAGGGAGAACCCCGAGATGGAACCCAAGAGGCAGACGCAGCCCTGGGACGAAGGCTGTGCCGGCCGGGGAGCTCAGAGGCCGGACTCACTTGGGAGTACAGCGCTGGCCGGGAGGCCCCAGAACATCGGTAAGCCAAGTCCTATCACCTACAGATCTGGCGTCCTTCCCAGGAACACTCTAGGTCACCCTTTCGCATTCATGAAGGCCACCGAGAGTGCTGAGCATGGACACAGCAGGAAAGCTGAAGTCCCCAACGCGATACGCACTTCTGTCCGCTAGCAGCATCTCGGCAGGGCAAAGGTAACTTGAGAAGTGCCAGTCATGGGCTGGCAGGTGGCAGTGGCTGGAGTCCCAGCCGAGAGGTTTGCCTTCTCACTTTTTCTGTCTCTCTGGTCAAATTAAAATAATGACAACACCAAATAAAATACATCAATAAATACTGCCTTTTAGAGAGATTTCGCTATGGGGCACATGCACTCACTGGAGAGAGGCAGGGAGACAGAAAGCGAGAAATCCCTCCCCAGGGGATGCCATGCCTCAGTCCCTTCTCTTCCATTCTCTTCTTGGGATCTTGGGCACGCACACATACTTGCCTGATGTGAGCTTTTAGTCGCCAGGTCCGGGACTCCAGCAACGTAACCATTATGCCATCTGCTGGTCCCAGTAAATACTTTTTTTGAAAAAAGTGCTAATCATAATACCTGTAAGACTAATATACCCAGAAATAATTCTGCAGACAAACCTTGTTCTTGGACAGAAACGGTACCAGACAGGGAGGGACTCCCCTCGGGGAGGCAGCCGGCCCAGGCACAGTGCTGGCCTTGGGTTGTGGGTGTGCCCTGAGGGGCAGCCGTGAGGTCTACACAGAGCGGCAGAGAGGAGGGGTGTCCTCCGACAGGCACCGGGGCCGCTACGGGGCTGGGGGACACAGTGCTGGCCCGAGACAGGCCGAGAGATGGCTGCTTGACAAGAGAGGATGTCTGGAGCAGACAGGCGTCCTGGGGGCTTAGCCTGGGCCCTGACGCTGAGACCCCATATCTGGGTGCAGCCATGTGCTTGGAGGCCAGGCCCAGGGTCAGCCCTGCATGTGGGTGGGGCCCCAAGGTGACAGAGGACGAAGCCCCGCCCCGTGTGTGAAGTGGCCCCATCGAGGGGGGGGCAAGGGCAGACAGGTGGGTGGGGCTGTGGTGGCTGAGCAGAGGGCACGGCCATGGGCCCTGTGTGCATGTGCGTGTGCAAAGCACCCACACCTCAGGCCCAAGACGCCATCCCTAGAAGGGCCGGTGTGCAAGGCTGGCCCTTGTCCGGCCAGCGTCTGGGAGCCCGGCCTCCCATTCTGGAGGTCCTGCCAGGCCTGGGGCAGGGAGGCGCTTGCCCACTGGGCAGCACACTGCAGCCTTGGCTGGGCAGTCTGTGGGCCTGCAGTGGGTCCCGGGGCAGGGACAGGCACAGGGGCTGTGCGGGCCCCTCCTGACTCGCCCACACCCTGCCTTCTGTGGAGGGGCGCCCCTCTGGTACCCTGAGGACGTGTTCACCGAGCCCACGGCAGTGTGTGTGGTGAGCATCAGTAGGCGTGGCCGCCAGGCTGGGCTGGGCCTCTGGAGGGCAGGGCATGAGCACGGCGGCCACGGCCAGGAGGGAAGGGCCACCCATGCCACCCAGTGTGGGCAGACAGCCCTGTGGGGCAGTGGGGGGGACTGCAGGCTTCAGCCAGCTGTGAGCGCCCACCAGCACCGGGCCGAGCTCAGAGGGTGCGAGGGAGGCAGGCGGCCGCCCTACCTGTGCCGGAGAAGAGCGGCCGGGCCAGATCCTGCGGGCAGGGGAACCCAGCAAACACGCCTGGTGCAGGGGCTCTGCCGAACAGGTCCAGCTTCATGCCCACCTCCACCTTGGGTGGGGCCAGTTGCACCTGCCAGGAGGAGAGCGTATCTGGGCTGCCGTCCCACGAGGGGCCCTGCCGACACCCAGAGCCCGCAGCTACAGCCCCATGGAAGGGACACGCCATCTAGCCTGGGGGACCAGTCTGCTGTGACCACACGTGAACTAGAAAGGCATTAATGAGCAATTTTGCTTTTCTATGACAGCTCTGAAATCTGGTGTGCTTTATACGTAGGGCACACCTCAACATGGGTGCTGCGTTTCCACTGGGACACTTCACACATGCTGTTGATTCTGTAATATTGAGGTTTCTTCCCTTTTTTTTTGGAGAGATTTTTGCAATAGGGCATGTGCGTTGGCCACACGGCAATCCCTTCTCCTCCATTCTCCTCTCAGGATCTTGGGCACATAGGCACACGCTCCCGGCATGAGTTTAAGCCACCAGGTCCGGGACTTGAACTACATTTGACTACATGGGAGTCCAGCGATATAGCCATTATGCCAACTGCT